AATATGCTGGTTAACTGAGTGGCCCTGGCCGCCGCTTCTCCCGCTGCGTCTGGGGCGTCCCTCCACCCCTCCTGCGGCATCGCCACCCCTCCCGCGGGCCCCACGGGACAAGGAGGCAGGCCTCGCACAGCCTGTTATGCTCCTGGGCCGTGGGGGTTTGGCAGCACAGGCTGCTTTGCTCCGAGCCACAGGGGCTCGGAGGAACCGCAAGTGCCATGGTGGGCACTTCCGGTCTCACTTTATCTTACAAGCCAGCATGCCAGTTAATGGAGCATGCCAGCTTGTAAGATGCCGGATAACAGAACTTTTACTGTACATGACAGAGGATCCAAACAGTATTCTATTTATACTATGAACAATATGGTTATGAACACTGTTTCAGTATGTAGGACAGACTCAGTGGAAATTCAGCATGTAGTTAGACATGATTTTAACCACAATAAAGCTGTGATCTGACAAAGGATAAGTTGGTTACTAAACACAGTGTGAACATGCCCTAAACTACATGATGGAATAATTATAATGACTTTGGGAGGCAAGCAAGTCCCAAACTTGTAAACCGATGCATTTCAAATATTAAGAAAGACAGTGTGTCAGGGCACATTTATCCTACTTTGGAGAGGAAAAGAAAATGAAAATTGCAATCATATTCATACACCTCCCTGTTTAACACAAAGCAATGTTTCTTAGTTTTAGGAAAGTAGCAGACAGTGCAAAACGTACCTGGCGGGGCTGGTCCACAGCCTTCTGAGGATCACTCTTCACTTTATTGCTGGGATGGTTTGTGATCTTTGTGACAGGCTGTTTGAAGATGGAGGCTGTCTGTCTGACAGGGAGCGCAGTGTTTAAATCAGGCTTGCCCTAAAGATTCAAAAACAAAACCACATTTTTCAGATATTGCCAAAATATAACATTTAACTCCGCCCCAAAGTGAATCTGCTTCCTCTTTCACTGTCTATTTAGAAAACTGATTAGAGGGCTGAAGATGCAAGTTTCTTCCCTCCCAAATATATTTTGTACTTTTCCAGTTTGCAAGCTGACTTTGTTCTATGCTTTAATTGTTTAAGTTAGCTGAACTTGCCTTAGGACTTCATTATGTGACGTCTTGGTATCACCAGGCCTGAGGATACCAGTGTAACCCTGGAAATAGTACTTGATATTAAACTAATTGCACAGTAATGAGAACGAGACTAGTTTGCAGGTCCAGAAGTCAGCTGCATTTCCACTACATTCAATTAAATAAAACAATATCGTATGTTAAATCTAGATTTTATACCTGCCTCCTGCCCAAATAAGATCCTAACAGTTTTTGAGTCCAAGAGCTAAAAATGTAGTTTCTTTTAAAGTGGAAGATAAAAGAAACTGAATTTTTAGCTCTTGGCCTTAAAAACTGTTAGGATCCTATTTCGGCAGGAGGCAGGTATGAAATGTAGATTTTACATACTGCCACCCCCCACCACTGCTCCACATCCTGGCGAAAGCCCCTGCTTCAGATAAGCAGCATTTTTAGATTACCAACATCCCCATTCTGCACTTGTGCTGGATAACAGAGCTTTTACTGTATGTGGTAAAAGTGTGTAACCGATGAGATCTGGTCAAGTTATTCAGAGCAAAACAGTATTTTCTTTGGATCATTCATGAACTGATCCAAACCCAATTTGCTAACTGGCTCACTATTTACATATCGCTGAATACGCCAGAGAGAATTTCCAGCACCCAGGTTGTTAATAAACTCTGTCGTACATGTTAAAATCACAAGCTCTCAGAGGCAGGACTTTGTTTTTTAAGTGTCAACAAGAAAGTGCCTCGTGCCTTCAAGAGTGCTGTAAGCAAATAATACAATGTTATTTGTAATTATTTAGGCCACACAGTATTGTTCATTAATTGGCAAACTCACAATTATTAACCTATTTACTGGGTGATTTTTGTTTGTTTCGCTAATATTCAAAATGCTTGAGCGATTCAGAAATGTATGGACTTGACTGTTGTCCAAATATTCATAAATGATATGACCCAATAAATATCAAATCATTCTCAACTCTTACTCATGAAAATATCTGCAATTAAAATCTACCTATGAGTATATCTAGCACCCATTCCTCAGACAATTCCCATCTATAAGAATGAATTCAAAAGTCTAACTAATCCATGATGTCACAAATATTGTTCTGAGAACAGAAGTGATATGGCTAATACTGAAATAAACAGAAAGGGCAAACCTCCCACTACAACATGTGCTTACTTTGGCTTGGTTAGAACAGTCATAGCGCATCCGCTGTCTATTCTTGTTCATCTTGCTCATCAGCATTTTCCCCGTGCGAAAGTCAAAAGTGCTCAGGTCCATGGAGCTCCCCAGGTAACGGGCTAGCTGGGGCTTGCTCCGGAACTTCTTACCACTTGGGCTGAGAGATACACAAAGGAAACAGGGAAAGAAATTAAACTTTTGGGGCTGACACCAATGTTGGTTTCAATACAAAAAGAGAGCCAGGATCTCATTCCCCTTGTGAAAGGAAGAAATGATAGCAAACATTCGGAAGGACCCTATCCATACTTGATTGAGGCAGGGATGCGCCAGTTGGGTTTGTTTTCCTTCCTTCCACAATCACTATGGAAGATAGGACCTACATGCAGGACAAATTAATCTGATCTATGTATCAAAAGTCAGATTTAATCCAGGTGCAAAGGACTGAAGCACACTTTATACCAGAACTGAACTTGATCGTGAAGGGACAGTGTCAAAGATTCATTACCAACTGGCTTAAGCTAAAGTATGTCAAAGTATTTTCTCTTTTTGCTTTGGTTTCCCTTCTCAGATTGTCAGCTAATGACTTTCTTGCCTCCTAGCTGTTGCATAATGTATCAAACTCACCTCAAGGGAACATTATGTTAGACTGGCATTACAATCTTCTTCCTACCGCCTCCCCCCAACACTTGAATTGTACACTCAGCTTTAATTACAAGCTTCTGATTTCAGTTTGATCATTTATCTTCATGATAACAGAGCATTATGGAACAGTTAGGAGGCAAGGAAATCAGTAGCTGAGGATCTTAAAAAGGAAACTAAGTAACAAAAAAATAAATAAATCTTTCAGTGAAATTAACAATGGAACAAAGATCAAAGCCCTGAAAGACACTGCATTAGAAGCTAAACAATTAAAGATGCTCTTTAAATATTTGATTCTATATGATAGGTGAAAGCTAAATAAGTGTATGCCAAGAGGCCCAACTACTTTTGGAGGAAGTGGGAGTAGGCAGGAGAGAGGAAGTGGGAGGGTTATAAAATAAATATCTGAAATGAACTGACAGTAGTAATGTGGCACACAGCCTTGTGGACTGGATCCTCCTCACTTTCTTTCTAAGTTACTTTTTTTGAAAAAGGCAAAAAAGCAATAAATTGAGGTCAGTTGAATCATACTAGTGTAAAGTTGCTGTGAAGAGAAGCGCACACAATTCTGAAAAAAGCAGCTTCCATGTGGTACTGTTGATCACAAAAGATA